GTTTTCATTCATACATTCATTTAATGATCCACTCATTCATCAGCTAAATTCTTTCTTTCTGTCTGCTGAGCATGTTCTCTCAGTGGAGGTGCAAATGAACGTTGCTGATCATAAGATAAATCAGCACATTCCAGCACTGAAGCTCATTTCTATTCTCATTCCAGCGTGATCTGCACCTGTCCACTATTTGACTACTGTACATCTGTCACATATTATAATGAATCAGGTACATTTTCTCTGAGGGTGCAGTGCCTTGTAAAAACTTTTGGATGAGAAAAAAAAATAAATAAAGCATTAAAATAAAATTACATATATCATATTTCTTATAATTATTTTCTTATTTTGTCTTTTTTCCCCCAGTTAAAATACAGATGTTTATATTATTATTATTACAAATGAGATCTTGAATTAATTAATTAATTATCTTGAATTACAAAAGATGGCAAATTGTTTATTCTTGTTTAAGTTTTCTTTTTTAATAAATCTGCAAAAATGTCAACAATTCTGTGTTTTTCTGTCAATATGGGGTGCTGTGTGTACATTAATGAGGAAAAAAAATTAACTTAAATGATTTTAGCAAATGGCTGCAATATAACAAAGAGTGAAAAATTTAAGGGGGTCTGAATACTTTCCGTACCCACTGTATATCTGAAATTGTAAGCATCTCAAAATTTCAAAATAAATCAAAATTCTTTAAAAAAAAAAATGGCATTGCCAACGAGGTAAAAAAATAAAAATTCTTCATGCAATATTTATTCTCTGAAAAATGCCAACGAAAGTGGTAAAAATGCTTGAAATGTGAGAAAATGAAATCCTTCAATCCTTATATTCTATTCACAAGAAGACACTGTCGTGAACTGAAGCTGATTAAATAATGTGATATTTGAGGCAAATTTTGTTTAATCAATGCAATGAAGAGAGAATTTGATTGAGATTTTTCTAAAATTATCTGATTAGCTGAACATACAATATTTACAGTTATAAAAATCCATTATAAAAGGTAACAAATGTTCCACAAATTCTCCAGGGGCACATATTACCCCTTAAAAAGATAAATAAATAAATCTGGCACTACAGTGTGTTAGTGTGCACAAAATTGCACTAGGCCTTTAAAAATGGTTTTTCTAGACCCTACAGTGAAAGAGTGAAGGTTTGTGTTCTTGTTATGGTTAATACACCTCCAATGCCCAAAACAGAACTGAATGAAACTCTCAAGCCTCAAGCCTTTAATATGCATAACAAAAGTGCAAACACTTTGAAAAGGAGCGCTGTTCAGGTGGAACACGGTTACCATCCCAACAGTAACTGGCTATGCACACATTCAGATGACTTCATCAGACACAGCCCCTGGAGTTTGGACACAAAGACCTTTCTTTATTCCTCTGGAATGGTACTAACCCTCAAACCTACAAGTTGGGGTCAGTAAGAATTTATTTAGCAAGGATACATTAAATTAATCAAAAGTGACAAGACATTGCTGTTGTTGTTTTTTAACTTTCTATTCATTAACAAAATGTATCATGGATTTCAGAAAAGTATTAGAATGGTACTAACCCTCAAACCTACAAGTTGGGGTCAGTAAGAATTTATTTAGCAAGGATACATTAAATTAATCAAAAGTGACAAGACATTGCTGTTGTTGTTTTTTAACTTTCTATTCATCAAAGAATCTTGAACAAAATGTATCATGGATTCCAGAAAAGTATTAAGCAATACAACTGTTTTCAACATTGACAATAATCAGAAATGTTTCTTGAGCAGCAAATCATATTAGAATGATTTCTGAAGACTGGAGTAATGATGCTGAAAATTCAGCTTTGCATCACAGGAATAAATTACATGTTTAAATATTTTACAATGGAAAACAATTATTTTAAATGGTAAAAATGTATATAATTGTAAAAAAGCACAGTATTGCTGTTTTTACTGTATTTTTTGATCAAAGAAATGCATCCTTAATAGACTCATTCATTTCCGTCCTTACACATCTGTGCTATGACCTGTCTGCCTCTATGTAAACAATAACTTTTTTTCTAAATCTACAGCAATCAAACATAATAAATGGTATCATTTCAAATGTTCAAGTATTCATTCTTTAGCAACTAAGGCAAGCTGTGACGTGATTGCACTCAAGCAATGTAGGAACGGTGACAGAAATTACAAGTTCCTACATGAGACAGTAAAAATTAGACTGTGATAACTCAGCAGTCACTCTTTCAGATTGATCAGCCGGTGCTTTAAAGAGAGACAGAAAGGAGGAAACTGTTTTGACAGATGAACGGTCCTTTGAAACCCAAGCGGCTCCAGGACCAAACTACACACACTCTCTTGAATCAACGTCCTGCGCTAGATTGTAGTGTTAAAACACATTCTGCCTGCTCAAAGTAAAACCATGAAAACCGAGCAACACAAAAGCCAGTCATGGTCTAGAAACGCTCCAAACAGACATACAAAAACAACTGAATGCCTCAAGTGTTTCCTTTATTTTTACACTTGGAGTATTTGGAGGCAAAGATGCACAAACCAAGTGGCTTAAAATAAATCATTTTGGACATTTAAGGTGCTAAAGTTTAATGCTATGGAAAACAAAGCAGATTATTTCTGAATGGTTTTGGAAGGAGAATTTAGTGAGACTGGAATGGACTTGTAAAGTGCTTAGTGCTGAATTTAGTGAACAGATGTTCAAATGAATGACTGGAGGCAGTAGAGTTCAGACGACACATGATTTGGAACGCTCTCGGCTCTCTCGCTGAATCACACCTCAGCTATATGCACACTCTTCTAATCCTTCTAAAACTCTAAATTATGTTACATTTGTCCAGAGTAGGGATGTCAAAAACAAAATACCTAAATAAATCAAATGTAGTTTCTATAACACTAGCTGAGGGCACAGTTTGAAACCTTGATACCAATAACCATAATTCGTTTTTTGTTTTAAACACATGCTGATTAGCTATCAGTAAAAAAATAAATAAATATAAGCATCAAAATAAAAATGATTATATACAGTATATAATATATTATACAGTTCTGGTTATGTTTATGATCATTTTTAATTATTATTTGTATCATATTCATGCTTTAACGTGATTTAACTGATGCCTTCTGAAGGATGTGACACTGAAGACTGCAGTAATGGCTGCTGAACATTCAGCTTTGTAAAATATATTACATATTACATTTTAAAATATATTCAAATACAACAGTAATATTTCAAAGTATTACTGTTTTTACTTTATTTTTGATCAAGTACATACAGCCTTGGTGAGCATAAGAGACTTCTTTAAAAAAAAAAAAAATCCAGAAAGTGGATTTAAAAGTTTCCAAACTTTTAAATCCACTTTCTATGCTCTCCACTTCATTCTGCTTCCAAATAATGTATGTTCAAAATGATTGATAGGCAGGAGGTGTATTAGCTAAACAAAGAATCTAGCTAGCTGTCTCAGGCTGTCACAGAAACAAATATGATATTCCGTGACATATAATTAAGCAATATCTGTCAGGAAGAAGCATTTTCTGCCTTTCTATAAATTAAAAAAGAAACACCTGCCAAGTTGGCATCTCAGTAAACTCACCCTCCTTCACTCTCTGCCTCTTCTGAGCTTTGTCCTTCACTTCTAGCTGAGACACCTGCTCTTTTTCTCCTAGTGGGAGTTCGATGAAGTAGACTTGCTTTGCGAGCACTGATATCGCCTCCGCTCCGGCCCCTCAGCTGATCTCTGACATTGTCCTGCAAGTGTGGAAGTGCATCCTTCAAGGCTTTTACCTCCTCTTTGAGCTCAGACACACAATGGATCAGAGCACCCAGCTGATCCAGCACCTCCGCCTTGCCCGTCTGCAGACCCAGACTGTCTGCCGTGTGATCTGCATTGCTGCTCAGGTGTAGGACTCTGCCACCGCCTGCTCCTATTTTGCGGAAGCAGACAATAGCCAAGCTGATCCCAGCAGCCCCTGCCAGAACTCCCAAAGCCAGAGCCCTGCTGTCTGCTTGAGCCATCCTAAACTGCAGAGACAAGAGAGAAAGAACACACTGATTAAACACTTTTATGAATAAAATTATTAAAATTTGTATGCTAATTTTTAAGCCAACACACTCCACATCAAGAACCTTACATGTCTAGATAAATCAAAACTTTAGATTTAAAATAATAGGATAATTATACCGTAATTTAGCCTTTGTGCAGTTCAATTAAATTGTCCTGCACTGTAAAATTACATTTTAATAGCGTAAAGAGAGGAACAAATAATGTAGTAGTCTCAACAACATTAATATAGCATTATGTTCTCGCAAGCAAAACTATATCAATTTTTAAACTATATTTATAATAAAACTATATTTACAATAAATATTATTTCAAATTAAACATTGATATTAGAAAATTATATATATATATACAGCGGTGGCCAAAATTATTAGAACACTAGCATTTTCACCAGCTAAAAAATGGTTTTAAGTCAGTTATTTCTATCTTTTGCTGTAGTGTGTCAGTAGCAACATTCATTTTGCCATTAATTGTAATAATCCAGTGAGATTTTTGTTTGTACAAGGAGTCTGACAACAGCCAGAGATCTGATCTCATCATCATCATCCAGTCGGTCTGGATTGACATGAAGAAACAGAACAAACTGAGACAGACTCAATCCAGAAGAACTGTGGCAACGTCTCCAAGACGCTTCAAGAAACCTACCTGCAAAGCTACAGTACTGTTAAAAGTTTAAGGCACTTGTGTAAAAATGCTGTAAAATGAGGGTACTGTCAAAAATAATGTCATAAATAGATTTTCTTTATCAATTAACTTCTATCAACTAAATTAAATCAACATTTGGTGTGAGCATCCTTTGCGTTTAAAGCAGCTTTTGCCCTCGGTGCACTTGTGCATAGTTTTTCAGGGAGCTTTACAGTTAGGTCTCTTGAAGCATCTTGGAGATGTTGTCAACAAAAAGCTCACTGGATTATTACAATTGATGGCAAAATTAATGTTTGGAAATGTAAACTGATATTTCCTACTGACACACTACAGCAAAAGATAGAAATAACTGACTTAAAAACAATTTTTTAGCTGGTGAAAATACTAGTGTTCTAATAACTTTGACCACCACTGTATATGCTGAATATATTAAAGCTTTTTCTTTTTCTTATCAGACAGAAGAGTTAAAGACTCTCAAAAGAAAATGAGCGCTCCTGCGCACTAACATTCACAACAATGTCAAAATAAAAGTCCTGCTTCCAACTCTGATCGGCCAAACAGAAAAACGTAACAACCAACACTTACAATTACAAAATGCCAATATTGGGGCTCCACACAGAGATCTGATCTCATCATCATCCAGTCTGTCTGGAATGACATGAAGAAACAGAACAAACTGAGACAGACTCAATCCAGAAGAACTGTGGCAACGTCTCCAAGACGCTTCAAGAAACCTACCTGCAAAGCTACAGTACTGTTAAAAGTTTAAGGCACTTGTGTAAAAATGCTGTAAAATGAGGGTACTGTCAAAAATAATGTCATAAATAGATATTCTTTTTCATTTAACTTCTATTAACTAAATTTAAAAAACATTTGGTGTGACCATCCTTTGCGTTTAAAGCAGCTTTTGCCGTCGGTGCACTTGTGCATAGTTTTTCAGGGAGCTTTACAGTTAGGTCTCTTGAAGCATCTTGGAGATGTTGTCAACAAAAAGCTCACTGGATTATTACAATTGATGGTAAAATGAATGTTGGAAATGTAAACTGATATTTCCTACGGACACACTACAGCAAAAGATAGAAATACTATTAAAACCATTTTTTAGCTGGTGAAAATACTAGTGTTCTAATTATTTTGGCCACCACTGTGCGTATATATATATATATATATATATATATATATATATATTAAAGTGTTGTTTTTAAATATTCAATACTATTTTAACAGAGTGTTTTCTGCAAGATCTCCAGCACTCACTGAGCGATACCTCAGATGATGAGGCATCACCTCTTGGAACCTCAAGAGATCCTTATATATTAAACTGTGATGAAAAAAAAAAAAAAACACACAACATACTTTGATTTGAGTGGATTTTTGAGTGCCAACATGAAAAACTGCCTAATACTGCCTAAAAAAAAAGAAAAGAAATCCAAGTGTTCATCATCCTACAGGAAGTGGCATAATTTTGGAGAGAAAACAAACATCAGTAATTGGCAATGGATGGATTCTGTGATGTTCTGTGGTATTAGCTGATTTATTTCACAAATAAAACATCCCATCCTGTTTGATACAATTAATCAATCAGTTATGTTGACAGATTACAACACTGTCATAGGGTTTTCAATGCATTGTATACCTAAAATATGCCCATATTTTAGAATATGAATGAATATGAATATTAATTGGAAATACATGATTAAAATTGCCCAAGGTAAGTGGCACTTTATTTTCACACGATCAGCAAGAAACCAGCAAAGTACATAAATATTCTGGTACAAGCTCTCAAATCCCCTTAAAGATAAGTTTCAAAGTTCAGAAAACATTGTAAACCGCAGCAGTGATATTAGTTAGATATTAATCAGCTGTCAAGGTCTTTACAGAACTAACGTTATGCGTTCTGCATATAAGTTATACGTACATGTAGCGGGGGATAAAAACAGACTTCTAACAGCATCAGAGCAGGCCCCATCACCAAAAACATAAAACAAAAGCATAAATCAGCAACATTCTTATAAAATAGCAGCTTTTACCTGTTCAAACTCTCCTGAGCGCAGCGGTGCGTCTGCAAAAACAGTCCGTATCGCTCCAGTGCTTGAGCTTGAAGGTTCCGCCTTGATAACCCAACCATATAGGCCTACAATAGAGCTTCTGTTAAAGCTTACGCTCAAAACCCTTTGCAAAAACAAAGAATGATGTTTAATACTGAGAAGAAGTTAAGACATTACTATTTAAAATGTGGTGGATGAATTTACTACTGTTAGAAAAAGTTAAGTGTTGGTACCATGGTATCAGATGGTGTTTATGTATGTATATA